CCCTGGTTTACACTGTTCTTCCTGGTTTTGACAACCGAGTTTTGTATGTAAATCCATATAAAATTAAGAAACTTTACTGTAAGACTGTCAAATCTCCATTATTTAGCGAGTAAGTTTCTTCTGAGCAAAGCCACTGTGACTTTTGTCGCTCCATAAGGAAACTGAAATTATAGTTACGAAATGTACTTTCTGTCTCATCAGCAATTCTTTCTATTGCATTAGTCTGATTCGTGTACTGAAAACTACATTTGAGGCATGCAGTTAAACTTTAAATCCCCTATTTGCATATGTACTGTGTTTTGAAGCGCTTTCTTCATCTTCCAGTTCGTGGATATCTCTGAAACTACACTTTGTTAGCATACCTGTATTTTTGTAAGTCGCTGTTGAAAATGCTAAATAGAGAGCCAGCCCCAGAAGAAGTCTTTGATTTCTCTGCTAACTTAATTGTAGCATATTGCCTGCTTCAAGGACAGCAGGATAGCTTGGCACCATCTTTCCTTGTAAACATGCTACATTTTGTCCCGTTTTCCCGATTTTTACAGAAAGTTACAGAATTTTGTTCATTTTCTAGCTTAATCTGTTTTCCTAGATAGTTTCTTTTTATGGTGGGGTTTTTTTTGTCATTTAACAGCTTCTTCTAGCCTTACTGAAAGCTTGACTTTTTTTATTGTTTATTTTTCACTTTTTTCACTCCACAACTTTATGGTTAATGTTGATTCTAGTCTGCTTTGGGTAGAGAAGATTATTTCAATTAAAATATGGCAGCCCAATGCACAAGATAAATCCTAACACATTTCCTAGGACAAAGCGTGCTGATGACTGCAGACCAAGTTCTTTAAAAAGTGAACTGCTTTAGAAACAGTTTTTGCTGATGAACAAGGAAGAGTTAATATTTGAGATCAAAACCCACTTACTCTGAACTTGTGAGAAGTGCCAGTGTCTTGAAAAGAAGAGAGCCCAGAAGGGGACATGGCTCTGTTCCTGGGTGGTGGCAGGGTGTCCTGCACGCTCAGGCAGGGTTTGCGTGAGGCCGAGAAGAGCTGGATAAAACAGGAAAAGGGTTTGACCTGAAAGGGAGCTTCTAGAGAAGAAAAACCCAATCCTAGCTCTGTGTCCTGTGTATTGAAAATACCGACATATTCCACTACTTGAGGAGGAAAAACGCTTTATAAAATGAATATGCAGGGAAGGTGCCGGGAGCCCTCTAGAAGGAAAGCCGCCTCTTCGTGGCTCGTTTCTCTCCGTGGGCACACCAAGATTCGTTTGGCCACTTCTGGTTCCCAAGAAGGGGAAGCATTTGCTGTGTCGGCCTTGGAGACAAGGGAGGGAAGGGAGAAAAACCTCGCTTGATACACATGAAGGTGTTACGCTGGAGCTGTAGGTTGTAGGACTTGTCTGCTGCATGGAAACACGTAACATTATTTTTTATTTTATTATGAGCCTGGCACCTTTATGAAAAACAAAACAAAAAAATAGCCAACGCCTTTGTTTGTTTTGATCGCATTCAGAGATTGGATTTAAAAAAAAAAAAGAAATGAAAAAATAAAAAAGGAAGAGCTCCCGGGTGGAACCCTTTCCAGTTCAGCATCAGAAGGATCTGAATATCTTCCCCACCTGTACAAGGAAGCAGGTGTTAACACTCTAGTTTTCTGACAGCTTTTTAAAGTTGTCCATGTGCTTTTACTTGAGCAAGTAACTTGGGGTTGAACCAAACCTTCCTTGTATTTTTCTGCCTCTCCTCTCCCCTCCGCTTTGATTAAATTCTCAGTGGTGTGTTCCTCTCAGTTTTATTAATTATGTTTGAACTTATTCCCATGTATATTATGTAGTTTTCTGAAGTTTATGTAATTGAGTTTGCAATCAAAATTGGAAAAGCATGACTTTGTGAAAGGAATTTTAATTGTGCTTGTGTGATAGATTGAGTTACTTTACATGCAGCACCAACTTTCAACTGTATTTCTTTCATAATGTATTGAATAATTTTTGAATTGTGTTCATAATAATCTTGCAGTATTAAATGAGTTAATTTAGAGACTGAATCTTATATTTACCTCATTTTAAATAAGTGTATAGACTAGGTATATTCCTAGGGTATGATGAAAGTGTTGTGGATTTGGGGGTGGGAGGGGAGAGTAAGGGTTGAGAAGATAACAGCGGAAGTCGGTGGATCTAAAATATTTATTAAATCTTCCAGTTCCATGAGTCAATCCAGTTCTTTCTTAAAAAACTCCAACAAATCCACATCAAAAAATTGTTGGGTTTTGGGGTAATTGTCTCTTAATTGACTTCTCGAAGATTCACAGTATTCTGAAGTTTTCTAGGACTTGATTAAAAAACTGTCTAACCTGAGAACTTTAGCAAGTATCAACAGGTGAAACAGTATGTAACAAGACCTGCAATGTTGTTTTCCCCAAAAGATAGTGATACAAATTCAAGTGCTGTTAAGAATTTTTTTTCTAGCCAGCAGCATAGGTAGTTGTAACGGTATATACTGCCTAACAAGCAGAAGTTATGCTTAGGTACACTTGAAAAGCCCCCCTTGCCCCCAAAGCCAAGGGATTGTCCAGCAGGGCCTGGAGAATTCATAGAACTGTTGGAAAAGTGTCGCTGGCTCAGTTTTCTCACCCATAGGGTTTAATTTGCACCATAAAGCTGAAGTTACAGATTAAGAACTACTGGGGGTCTTCTGACATGAAAATTAATAACACATGGTTTATTTTTTCTGAAGTCTGCACATTCTAAAATCGCTGCCTGTAAGGACTAATGCACTCTCAGGGTAGGAATTTGTAACTCAGTTGTGTTTTTATGGGGACATAACTCAATAATTCAAATTTTGAATTGGTACTTTTTTCTTTGTAATTATTGT